CACGGAGCACAAGGGTAGAGTCCTTATAGCTTTCTTCACTCAGAGTATCCCGTTCTGCGACTGCATCATCAAAGCTGCTTTTGCCAACCTGCAGGCACAGTCGGGGGAATGAAGAATTTCATAGTGGAATACAGAAAAGTTGAGCGCAAGACCTAAACGAATGGGGTGTGTTGGTGGAAGAGCTGCCACTGCAATATCACTAGCAGCTTTATAAGCCACGAGGCTGTTCTCTGCAGCCCCCTTCCTGTCAGTCCCTGGGGCAAACGCAGTCAGATCCCTGTGGTAGTCACCTGTAGTTTTCTAATAGAAAACCTAGAACTCGCCAGTGTTAGCTGCTGGAATAAGGTGGCTGTCCAGTACATCCAGAATGCCACGACAGATTAACTTTAGTTCCGTTTCAACCATTTGCCGATATTTCCGAATCATTTTCAGTTTGTCCTCTCCTCCCTTGTTTTCTTCTTCCTGTGGAACGCTGCTGATTATTCTCCAGGAGGCTCTTCTAGCTCTAATCACATTTTAAAAATCGTTTTATCGGGCACTCAAACAACTCTTATCACAATCCATACATCCATCCATTGCGTAAAGCACATTTATACCTTCCTTGCCCTCATCGTTCTTGAAATATTTGCTCTCCACTTAAGCCCCTGGCATCAGCTCCTCATTTTCATATGCAACTGATAGGAGGCTTCTTTCTTCAACTGTCAACTCAACATCCATCCCTGCTCCTTTCTTCATAGATTCCACCATTCCGTCGTATTGCTCAGCCTACTCCGCCAGCTTCACCTGGTACACCAGACCCTCCCAATCATCCATAGCAGCTCAAAAAGGGGCTGCGAGACAGCGTCTCCAACTCCCTCAGCTGCTTGCTCCGTGTTCGGGCAGCAAAATGAACACTTGTTCTTATAACCTGGCATTCTGTGATGCTCACCTTCCCAACACAATCGCTGGAGACAAATGAGTGTTTAGCAAATGTGGTGAAGAAAGCTGATGGTGCCCAGCTATCAAAAGATATAACACCAGGGGTCTTAAAGGCTTGAAGGCAAACATGCGGCCATCTAGCTGAGAAGCAACAAAGCCCACATGGAAGAAACACACCAGCCTGTGTGATCATGAGGTGTCGATGGGATCAGGTATCAGGCATCAAAGACCCAGAACAAAAAATATAGGCAATTGGACATCCCCTTACAGAAGTGTCACAAGGAAGAGATACACCAGTCAGGGTGCAGTATAGCACCAACTAAACCAGCAGTTCTCAACCTGTGGGTCTTGACCCTTTTGGGGGCTGAATGACCCTTTCACAGGGGTCAGCTGATTCATAACAGTAGCAAAATTACAACGATGAAGTAGCAATGAAAATAATTTTATGTTCGGGACCAGCATGAGGAACTGTATTAAGGGGTCGTAGCATCAGGAAGATTGAAAACCATGGACTAAACATACAGCTTTCCTCTAGTTCTT